ACCCAGAGGATACTTGGTCAAAGACCGGAAGTCGTGAGCTGCTTGAGTCATATGTAAAAGAATCGTTTCTGGCCACTCCCAAGTGAATGGCGATCAGAAAACTTTCCTCACTTCCGTGAACTTCTACACATGACTCCATCCTCCGGATACATACATACGTATTATATTTATCAACTTTCCAATTGTTTTTACACATAGTGAGCATTGAGTACAAAGGCTGATTATAGCGACATTCGAGCCGATATGACTTCTGTTGTAAAATATTTCGCATGCTTCAAAAATAAATTGCAGTATCGGGGAATACCGCTTCGTTGTCAAATTTAAATTTCTCTACAGCGAGTATTTTCATGAGTTCTAAGAATATAAAGAAATCCCTCAGGCTTAATTTGTAAATTATTTGTATGTAATTTGACCAACTTCCAGCGACTATTATGGATGGACGAAATACCGTATTTTCAAGATAGTGTGTTACGAACTTATTCTACTCTCTATGGACGGCATAACTTTGGTTTATTTGGTTCATCGCAATACAAAACATTTATTTATTTACTAGAGGATCCGCCCACGCATAACTGTGGCTGATACATAGATAGTACTACTAATATCATCTATATGCTTTCTATTGAATAGTCGAAAAAGTCTTTTCGTATTTCTATTTCGTATTATTTTTTTTTATATTTATAATGAACTTTAATACATCAAATATGCACCATTTTGGTCGACAGTGGTTTACCATTTTCACGCTAGAGACATTATTCCATCAGTGTAAAGCTTTTTTGGTTTCTCGGCGAAAAACTGTGACAAGTAATTTTCACAGGTTTCTCTTGAAGCAAACTTTACTCCATTAATTGGTAGTCCGATGGAGCAAGGTCATGTCTATATTGTAGATGCATCCAAAACTCTCCCAATTTTTGTCGAGTCATCAAACATGTGTGTGGTCTAGCGTTGTCCTAAGGGAAGACGAAGCCTTTCTGTTGATCAGTTCTGGCCATTTTTGTTCGATTGCTTGCTTCAATCTCATCAGTTGTTGACAGTAAAATATAGAATCAATCGCTCGACCAGGTGGAAGCAGCTCATAGTGAATGATTCCTTTCCAATCCCACCAAACTCTCAGCATAACCTTTCGAGGCGTCAATTCTGACTTTGCGACCGTTTGTTGAGCTTCACCACGCTTGAACTATGATATTTTTCGCACATTATTGTCGTATTTGATCCACTTTTCGTCTCCTCCTACCATTCGCTTCAGAAATTGATGTGGTAGCCAAACATCGAGCTTTTTTTTTTGTAGATAGCCTTTTTTAAATTGTTCAAATGCATTTAATGATGAATGTTAAGTTCCTTAGCGATGTCATGTGACGGTTCTGTGACTTTCTTTTCCATAACTTCGTCGACTTTTTCGAAATTTTCAGAGCGGAAGCGAGCAAACCTTTGTCATGCTACACGTATCCGTATCGTCCGTAAATTTCACAAATTTCATCGGTGGCTTGCCTGACTTGCTTCCCTTTTTTATAAAAAATATTTCAAAATATAGCGAATTTCTTCATTATTTTCACACGTTTTTGAACAGCTGTAACTTTTTTCAATTTCCCCGATTGTAATTTTTTGTTAAAGGAAGCTTAAAATCTTACCTTTCCAACACTTGATGGTATTTTCATAATGTGATTGGAGGAATAGGACTGCAACAACATCTATTGACAAAATACGAAAATACTTTTTCGACTACCCAATATATAGATGCCATAAATTTGGTCTATTCGGTTCAACGCTATAAAAAACATACGGAATTCTTTTTTATTAATTTTTTTCAAAATATCGAGGTTGTTGACAGCCACAAAACATATAAAAAAGTTCAATTTTGGTGGTGTCTCATAGTTGGTATTACTTACCAGCCTGCCTGTTAAATGTGATTTGTAAGCATCAATTATATACATATATTTATACACACATATCCTTTTCTAAGTTTAAAACTTGTTTTAGTTTCCGATAAAATTTTCATTCTTGTATTTAAAATATATTTTAATCGTAATTTAATCATTTAACCATTGCTTTTAGCTGCACCTGGCTTAACATCGCCGGAGAAAATACAAATTGGAAGCGGTGATGACGCTGCACTTGTTTTCGTCCATGATAGCAACATCAAAAACATTAGATATATCCCTCGGATATTACCTCATGACTACAGCGATTACAGAGACGAGAAAATCAATCAAACTGTAAGTACATATATACATATATAAGAAGCGTATACATACTTATATAAATACATACATACATATATTAAATTAACAATAATAACTCCAAATTCTTACGAATGTAATGTCTACACGACTGATTGCAGTTCAACAGCAATAAGTCAAGCAAAGTAGTAACTGATTTAGCAACAACCGATGTTGGCACAATGTCAACTTTCCAAACAAAAATATTAACCAACTTAAACACACACATTGATATGTACAAGTATACACACATACGGTTGCATCGAAAAACCCCATAAAATGTGTAGATATTACAGAGGGTGGAGAAGTGACGCAGCAAGTTTTGCTTTATGCACACAACCAATGTGAGACAAGCGCTGTCAGTGCATACTACGAATTCATAAAAGCTGGAACGTATCACACTATAGACGGGTTGTTAAACTGGCCGCCATAAAAACTAACTGTCGTTTAAAGTGCCCATACACGACACAAAAGTGCATTCCATCGGTATGTGTGCACATGCGGTTTACTCGTGTATGGGCTTGTGCGCTTACCGATCCATGTTCGCAAAATGTTTGGGGGAGCCTGCTTTAGAGGCTTCAAAAAATCGTTTTTTTTTTTGAGGATTTTTTTGGGAGGGAAAGAAATAATTGATTTAAGTGTAGGATGCAGGTCACAATTTCTATGGAAAAGATTCATATTTTTAAATAACTTATCTTCTAGTTAAACTAAGAAAATGAAAAAAAAGTGTAAAATTAAAAAAAAAAAATTTTAAATTGAAGAAAGTGGTTTTTGTCCAAAATAAATTTTACTTAATATTGTTTAAAAATATGTTCAAACTTGACTTTTCTTAGTTTATTTATTATAGTTTAAATAGAAGATACTTTAATGTCAAAGATAATAAACTTTGCCCCATATTCCATACTACGTTTAGTCGCCAATTAAGTAAAATCGTAAAAATGAAAAACCGAGAAATCGCGCGGCAAAGTTTTCGCTTTCGCCCAAGCGCTCATATTTCTACTAGACGCTCGGTCACAATTTCCCCTCTAGCTTCGATAATATTTCGAATTCCTATCTATAACTTTGGGGACATATTCTTAGATAATTTTTAAAGAGATTTAAGCAAAAAAAAAAAAAAAACCGAAGCTTCTAAAGCAGGCTACCCCATTAATAAAGATTTCGTATCAGAATTTATTGATCAGAAAAATAAAAGTGGGAATAACTTATTAAGGAAATACAAAGAAATAGATAAAAGTGCTACATTAGAAATAAATTCCAAGAAATATTCCGCTTGCCTGTAGCACATGTCTATGTGTGTGAAGAGCGAACGCAAAATGGATTTGTGTGTCGTGTATGGGCGAAACAAGTCCACACAGATCCAACGCACATGTGTGTCGTGTATGGACCCTATTAGCCAGTAATAGTAGTAGCCTCTCGCTAAACAAGTACAGCCTTCAAAGTGTACTTCAGGCGATGAATGGTTCATTACTTTAACTCTCAAAATTTCACAAGACTGCTATATTTTCGAAAGCTGCTGGTGCCTTATTTGTTATATAATTTTTATACGATTTTTTCAAAGATATACTCTGAGTACAAATACTTTTACATCAAATTCTCTCATACTCACAGGGATAAATTATATTAGTTTCCCTCCGTGTCTCAAAATAATCTTCTGTGTGTGTCAGCCATTGGTTAGAGCCCTCTTCAGCTTTGATCCGGCCATGGCTACAAAAGCCTATACATTTGTACATACACTCACACATATCTAAACATGACTGCAGGCCGAGTTGAGCTGTAGTGGGCATTGAACGTCCTCCACTGCATACCATTCGCAATTTTTTCAAAGCACTGTTGCTTATGCCTTGCACATCTCCAACGCATTTATCGTTGGTATGCATGTACGCTTGTGGTATGTGATATTCTCAGTATTGTTTGCACATTAAGTCAACAATACTTGGACCGACCAAACGCAGAGTATTTGGTTGGAACAAAATTAAGAGTAGAACATAATAAGGAATTTACTATATGTACATATGTATGTATATAGGGATGTATTGGCAACAACAAGAAGTACACACGCGCGTACAGCGGTGCACCTCAAAGCAAAAAAATGCAAATAAATACATATGTATATACCAACATGTTTGTTTTTCCTGATTTAAAGAGTTTCAAGTTGCATGCAACACACATCACATGCAGTGCTTCCACATGTGCAGAAATACATAAGTGTGCATTTAAAAGGTACACTAGCAGTCAAGTAAAGGTTTATATTGGGTAATCTTTTCGTATTTTTAATCAAAATTTAACTTACTTTTTTTTTTAATTTATAATAATAAATAAACAAACAAATATGTACCATTTTGGTCGACCACATTTTGCAATTTTTCCGCTAGAGCCATTATCCCATCAATGTAAAATTTCGAAATTTCCAGAAGGCAAGTTAGCGAACCATTGTTGACTACACGAACTGATACAGCATCGTCTCCGTAAACTACACAAAATTCATTTAAAAAAAAAAAAATTCAAAATATAGCGAATTTCTTTATTTTTTCACTCATTTTTGCTGTAACTTTTTTTAACTTCCCCGAATTTAATTGTTAAATGAAGCTTAAAATCTCACCTTACCAGCACTATATGGTATCACACAATGTGATTGATAACATTTTAGATATATCGACGAAATGCGAAAAGACTTTTTCGACTGCCAATATAATGGGTTTAGTCCACTTTAAATTCGAATTTTTGGTGAAATTTTATTTAATAAATAAAAAGCCTATATTTACAGTAAGTGAAAATGTTTAGACTTCATGACGGAATTGCTTATAACACATTGTGGCTGTTCGACTGCCTCGCGGTAAATATGGTGGTTTACAGCATTATATTTTCCTATTAAAATTCAACAATTTCCGTAAGAACTTTATGACAGCAGTTGGTGGCTTTAAGCTAGATCCAACGATCCATAGGCGTTAACGGCTGCAAAATCAGCTGTTGGCTTTAGATTAGGAACTTTGATTGTGAACTTAGTGAATTATATGGCTACAGCTACCATTGGGAATACTTCTTCCGCCATTATATGGATAACAAATTAGGGATACTCTTTTACACGCCATCTTCAATATTCTTTGGTTCCGCATCTGCTGTCGTACTGCTTTATGATGTAGATGATAGCCAAAAGTTTATTAGAGGACATATCTAGTGACGCGAAGTGTACATACGTGGGACGTACGTCACAACTTTGCTATATTTCAAAATAGTACGTTGTTATATACTAGACTCTACTTCTGCTGGATCTAGCTTAAAGCCACCAATTAATGGCAAATAACAAGAATTGTAATGACTTTATTTATATTACTAGTATTTTGCTTGTTGGTTTTTTTCGTCGTTTTTACGTTTGCCCAGTAGAAATTGTGAAATCCATGAAGTCGGGTTTTACGTGAAGCATTTTGAATTCTCACGTTCCCTAAACACAACTTACCATTGCGTCTTCAACATAAGCATGCATGTATATAGATTGGCTTTTTCACGCGAATCTGTTACCGCTGGTGCCGCATTTACATGCATGTGTCTAGTTGATTGATTTAATTAAGACTTGCTGACAATTGCCCGTGCGCGTCGGCGAAAAATATCGGCCGCTACGTGGCGCAAGCGCCCCCAAATGTTTGATACGCTTGTCCATCGTGTACACTTTAGACGAGTTACATTTTCTTTTCGAATTTTTCACTTCGTGCGAGCATATGTTTTTGGCATGCTAATTTGTATGTAAATCAGATGTGTTCTTGTTTAGATTTATGCGCCTATCACTGTTTGGCAGTCGACACTCCGTTTAAAGCGAATTTTAAACGCTTTTGAATTCCAGCTAATTGTATTTTATTTGTACAAAGTCACTGACATTCCTTGGCAGATCCTCGTGGAGTCCATTTTTATGAACACAACTTTAACGACTTCATATGTACATACATACATACTATATATATGCATATACATATATCACATTAAATATAACATATTGTTAGTTCTTATAATAATTGTTACATTTCTACAAATTCAGGAACTTGATGAGCAAACAACATTACTCTTGATAAGGAATGCATCAGCTAAAAAGTCTATATTCACATTTGTATACGGGGACGGTCAAAGCAGCAATGAATGGGAACTCGATGTGGGTGAGTAGAAACTCAGTTGTTGTATTTGCTATCTGTGTGTACATGACATATGTACATCAAACTATCATATATTATTTTTTTTCTTGTTACTCTGCTGTTGCGCCATCTCACACGATTGAGGGGTGCATTCTTTGCGCCATTCCAGGTGATTATGGTAACGGCTAATTCGTGCCGTTACGTTCTTCTCCGCGTTAATTTTGTGCGATCGCGACTTTTGCTTTCCTTATAATGCTGTCTGTACATAGTTTTCCATGTGTCGAACAGGCTTCGATGGGTGCGAAATCCAGCCTTTTCGACACATGGGCCGGCGGCGTCATTGGTTACTGTGAATGGAAATCGTTACCGTTCAATAATAACCAAATATTTATGACCCGAATTTGATAAAATGGACTTGGGCAATATGTGGTTCCAACAGGAAGGCGCCACACAGTTAGTGTCACAACCGATTTATTGAAAACCAACTTTGGTGTCAATTGTCCACCTCGGTCATGCGATATGACGCCGTTAGATTATTCCCTGTGGCGCTATGTCAAGTTTATGGTCTATTCCAACAAGCCAGCGACGATTGATGAACTTCGTACGAATATCGATCGTGAAATTACAGTAGTAACGGCCGATTTGTGCTGGAAAACCGTCGAAAATTGGATTCAGCGTCTGGACTTCTGCAAGCGAATGTATTGATATTCCAAAGTGCTTTTCTTAAAATGTCTTCGATAATAATTTCTGTGAAATTTCTTGGATATACATACCTCGTCAAATGAAATAGTTTTCCATACAAGCACTTGATTCTTATCGTTTAGTTTGTATGACAGCTCTATGTCTAATAACTAATACTTTTTTCGAGGTTTCACTTCTTAATACTCGTTTAAATGATTAAGACGTGTATCGCACAGAAATAAAAATTTGCATTACCCAAAATTTATAAGGAAAGTTAAAAATTATTAAGATCAGTTGAGAGTCAATCATGCATAAGTGTTGGGAGTGCAGGGAAATAAACCCCAAATTAAAAAAAAAAGTTTCGAATACGATTTTTAAGTTAAGGTTGTCCGCTCTTCGCTAAAATATCAGGTTTTCTTTAACTAAATACTCAACGTGACCAGTAACAATAGGTAGGCCTAATATGTAAAGCTTCGAACTGTAAGGAAATGAGCCGCTATATACTTCTTACTATTCTAGAAAAAAACATGACGTTTTAGAATTCCTTGATACTTTTTTTTCGTGATAAAATGCTAGAAATCTCACAAAGTAATTGTTCAGCGAAAGTATCCGTTGGAATAGTTTTCTTATCAATAAAAACGTGCATATGTATACTTTGTAGATAAGTATTAGAGCACACTTGGAAGGAATATTTGCTTTTCGCGTGCAAATCTTGTTTTCAATAAATAAAAACTTCCACATTTGTATTGAAACGCAATAAAAACTTATACAATGTAGGAAAAAACATTATTACTGAACTGGTGCGGGTTCACTGCACTTGTGGTAGAACCATTACTAAATCACGTAATTGCCAACCAATGATCACTGACTAAACATTAAATCGTTTTAGGAAGCGTGTCTTTATCTATATATACATATGTTTATAGTTTCAATCGGACAATTTGTATTTAAAAAAGGTTCGATATAAAAATTTTAAAATTATATTTATAAATATTACATAATCGGTCCAGTCCGCCTTACTGCCAACATTGCCCGGGGGCTTCACTAACAGTACATCACCTGCTTGACGAATGCCACCATTTCACAGGAATCAGGAGGACTATCTTCGATAACCAAACAACTACAACACTTTTGAAAACTACGTCTCTCAAGAACGTTACAAAAATATCAAAATATCTGGATAAATGCGGTCTAAAACATTTAATATGACATCCTACCTAGCTTAGATAAGAACTTTGTTTTTGTTTTACTTAAGCATGTATATAGATTTTATGAAGATTTTAAATTTATAAAGCGTGGACAATAGAACTTAATTTTAGTCACCTAGCCTTAGATTCACCAGCGAGCCGAAGGTCCTGGCAGCCAGTGCTCCTTTTTTGGTGTAAATTAAATAATTGTATTATTTTTTTTTCACATTTATAAATAAATAAATATAATAAGTTGATAAGTACAATAATGCATCTTGAATAAATATAATTTCTTATTTTTATTAAGACCTACATACACGAGTTGATTACGTCGGCATAATAATTTAAACGCGTCATTGAATCGTTTACAAATTCATTTGAAAAAACATTAGGTAAAGAAACGACCAATAACTGAGTGGTGTGGTCGCATTTCTATCACCTTGCCTTATTGGTTTTTTTTTTTGACACATAGATGCACGTGCTAGCAGTACTTTTACTTGGAAACTGTTTACTTGAACTTAATTAGCAACTATTCAATTACAAAAGCTGTAAAAGTGCACACACACAGAAATATGTAAATGTGTGAAAATATTATTAATTTCAATTTAGGGGAAACTGTTGCTTACGATCTTTTATAAATTCTTGAATTATATAGTAGTTGTTGTTGTTGAATAAAACCCTTCTCTAAACAGACTTGGGTAACATTGCCATGATGACAGTCCTCCACCGAACGCTTGCACCAAATTGCATGAAAATATTGGCCCTAACTCGGAGACAATTGACCAGCTAATCATCCGATAGCTAGGAACGCCCATAACCGAGTTAAATCAGTTCATTATTTTCTGGACAAACTTAGTTTGAAAAAAAGGAAGCCGAACGCAAGTTCGATTAAAAGCCCCTAAACGAGATGGCCACCTATTTTCACAAGAAAATTTTGTTCACTTGATAATAATCGCAGCGTTCCCCGATTACCATTACTTATGAATACATTTTTCATGCCTGAATTGGACGACGTTGATGTGGATAACATTTGCTTGCAATAAGGCGGCGCTACATGTCGTACAGATGTACTATGTGATCGAAAATTGGGCCAGACATTGCCCTTTCAAAAATACAGTAAGCTTGACTCAAAGCTTGAAATCTTGATTCTTCCCGAAATTGTTTGTCGCTAAGAGAGGTTCATCAAAATTCATGTTCATGTTCTAATTTAATCAAATAAGGAATTGAATAAGAATTTTGAAATTGCGGTCACTTTCTGTGACCATACACAAATGGTCATCTAAGATCATAATAAATTAAAACAAGAATTTTTTACTTTGTTTGAACCGAATCAATAATACTCTTTGCAAATCCGTTTTTCATTCAATAATTTGATTTTGATCGGTACGATAGCTTTAAGTTATGCGGAGCTTTGGACAATAAATCATGCCAAAATTCGTGAAGATATCTTGACAAATAAAAAAGTACTAGCGATAAGCTATAGTAGTCCGATCTACACGTTTTGCTTGGATATTGTAGCGTTGTCTTAGACTATGCAAAATTTCGTGAAAATACCTTGTTCGAAAAAAAAAATATTTTTACACAATTTTTGTTCTTCACAGGAAAAGCTCCGGAGCCCGTAGAGAGTTTTCCATGCAGAGGTGAAAACTATGAATTTATGAGATGCAGAATGTTCTATCCACCAAATAACTTACCAACAGAATATAAAATATCATATGAAGTAAGTAATCTTAATTATTATTCCATAAAAACCCTGAACTCAAGATAAACCTTTTCAATGTTCCCATTTAGGCATTACAGAACAGTATTGTAGATTGCACACTAGACAAGGGCTCAGCCCATAATATAACGTTGATGGCGAGAAATAGTGGCAAATGCATTTATTATCCTTCCCAAGAATTTCATAATTTTACTTTGATAGCGACAAATGTTTTAGGAGAATACACGGATAAAATCTCCATAAATACCCATAAGAGCGGTAAGTGTGGATGTCGGATGCTTTATACTTCTTGAATATTTTTAATGTTTCCAATTACTTGCAGTCGTGCCGCCAAAATTGCAAATCAATGTGGAAAAGATAACCTCCGACAGCGTATATTTATCTTGGAAAAACCGTAAGCAAGATTATTATAAGGATATTGGATTGGAATATAACATTACCGTTGAACCGAATGGCTACAAAAAATACAATTTAACTAAAACCCATTTAACTGAGTACAGTGAAGTGTTGGCGTATAATTTCACACTCCCAAACCTTCCCTATGCCAACTGGCAATATGTTTTGAGTGTAACAGCCCGTGTTAATTGCAATACAAGCGAATGGAACGAACCAACCCTAGAGGTTTTCACAACCGCTCCGCGTAGACCCGATCGTGCGCCACACACTTATGTTGGTGGTTTCTACATTAATGAGAAAGACATAACTCTATATTGGGAGGGTTTGGCAGATTACGAGAGAAATGGTGGAAAATTCACTTACGTTATTCAAGAATTGGACATGTATGGACAAGAGTTGTAAGTAAATTCTCAAATCTATCTGACTTTTCACTTTCCAGTATAAAAATGAAACACGAATGTATGTATCTGGATAAAACCTTGCACGAATAGTGCCTCTAAAGTGTGCCAAATTATGAACATTTTTCGAAATCAGACGAAACGTTCACAAGCAACCGAATACCTTATATGTGAACCTCTGTTTCTATTGCGAACTTTTTTGATCGGTCAATCTGTGGGATATTTTATAGAAGTTGGAAGAAAAATCTTTTCTAAAAATAGTCTGTATGTCAAAATTGGCTGGAATCGGCTCAGTAATACCCTCAGTGTCCATATACCAAAAAAAAAGTACGTCCGCCTGTCTTTATACCACAAATAACAGTCAATATATGTGTAATCGTAATGAAATTGAAGGATCGAGTTTTTCTAATAATAATTTATCTTTGTAATATCGGGTCCAAAACTTACCCTAGCCTCCGTATAATATTGGAATTTTCAAACGTTCGGTTGATTTTCAACCCTATTTAGTGGTGATGGTATGTGAAGCACCTCAATAAAACTCAGAGTGCATATTTTTCTATTAAAACTACCATTTGATCAAATTTGACCTGGACTGAGAAAAATAATGTAAACATTTCAATGTACCCCAATTGTTCATACATTTGTTGAAAGCCTCGTCTCTGATAGCCTTCAGCGCCTTCATCGAAATATGTGTTGTGGATCATTTTTGGATTTCGCAAGATCGTTTGATGAATGTAAGTTCATTGGCTACGTTGTCTTGCATCTCTTATATGATTATTACTCTAGGTTGGTTTTGCAAAATATTTTAATGTCGTGTACAGATTAGGTACAATAGCAGCTTTTTTTGAGTTTATGAAATAGGTTTTGATTAACACTTGGTTAATTTATTGAGAAATTATAAGATTATTTTCTTTTGCAGAAATTCAAAAGAAACCAATAGCACAACAGTTGGCTTTAGCTGGTTTGAGACGGATAGAATTTATAAAATATTCAGCAAAAATGCAGTCGGTGCTTCATCAAATTCAAGCATAATACGAGTTGTCTCACCCAGAGAATTAAGTCCGCCATTAGAAATTGAGAAGTTGTTTGAAAATGGAACATTCATATTAAAATGGAAGCATCCAGATGACTACGAAAAGCAACCACCAAGCAACTATACTGTATTCTGGTGTAAACAAATGATTAGGAAGAAGACTCAGTGTAATGTAAATATCTTAATATTATACAGTTATAATATATTTTAAGTCTAACAATTGTTTATCGCCCACAAAAGGGTTCCATGCACTTCACAGTTGTAGAAAACACGAGAACCAATTATTCCATACACGCGAAGGATGAACCTATAACGGCCGTGGCAGCCAACTATCCACGCGGAAGTAGTGGACTTTATTGGTCCAATTGCTTTGCCGAATTAAATGCACCGTTAAAGCAGCTTAAACGACTTCAAGCTACCGTCGTGTCGGAGTCAAGCATCGTTTTAAGTTGGGAAAATCCAAATTGTATGAATGTATTCGATGGCTACAATATAACCTATTGCATATGGAACAACAACATGGTGTCCAGTTGTCATTCAGAGCTCGAAACATCGACACAAAGTACAAGCTTCATTTTAGCGAATTTGAAAGCATATACATTTTATAAGATCAGCATACAGGTATATGGCGATAATCATCGAAAGAGCCCGCCCAATGAAATGGAAATATGCCAAACCAAAGAAGCAGGTGATTTTCAAACTTGCTATTACAAAATTATATACATAATAAATATTAAAAACCCACATATACTGTTATTTTAGCACCTGAACCGCCAACTAATCTAAATTATATGAACGTAACAAGTCGTTCGGCGAAAATTTCATGGACGGCGCCGACCGAAACCCATGGATTGCTGAAAATGTATTATATTTGGTATGTATAACATTAAAAATGTTTGCTCTTCTTATGTATATTTGAGATGGTAATATGTTTATGTATACTTTAAGTTATAAAAAATTCAACGACAAAGACCCAAAATGCAATGAGACCACTGACATGTCTTATACATTAAACGACCTAACCAGTGGATCTGACTATGAGGTATGGCTAACGGCGTGGACATCCAAGCAATCAATTAAGAGTGCATCAGTGAATATCACCACCATGATTGGCAGTGAGTATAATTAATAAATAAAGAAATCTAACTCATAAATGTATGGACAGGCATTGCGAAATCACTTTGTCTGATGATATATTTTACAGTGAAAAATTACTTATCGAAAATATAAAAAGAAAAAAATATGATAAATTGAAAAAAATAACCCTTTTAAATATGATTTTTAAAACATTTTATGGTCAAAGTATATAATTGTATCCTTAACGGTCCAAAAGTTATGTTCCTGTAGATAAAAATACAATTTAATATATATTTTTTCTCAACTTGGAGTAATTACATTTTCTTAAATCACGCGTTCTGATACATTCATTTTGTTAAATCCATTTATTTTACAATTCATTGACTATTTAAGGGTCTATACCCACTTAAGAATTTCAAAAATCAGTGTATCGAATATGCATATTTTTAAAAATCTTCTCTGAAAAAAGAATTTGTGACTTGGTGTGATTGGCTCTCAAAATTTTAAACGCGTTTTTTCGCTTTTTTCATAGTTAGTGAGGGAAATTCCACCGAAACGACTTTACTGATCGTCTTGAAATTTTCACACATTCTTCTTAAATATATGTATGTACATATTATATTCGTCAGGTAATGATTGAAGCAATAATATTTTTGATAAACATTTCGATGTTTAACAAATTTTAAAGTGTAAATTTTTTCATAAGACGAAATGTTTTTGAGAAATCCGCCATTTATCAAAAATCAAAATTGGTACTAGTCCTTCGTATTCATCTATAGTAATAATAATTTTTTTATTTTTTGTATTTGAGATAATTTTAGGAAAAAAAAATCTTCCTCGTCGCCGTCTCTCCCCTACTTATTTCGTTGCTCTTCCTGGAGATCGGCTACAAGATCCAAAATTTTTTTTACACTTACATTAAATTTTGTAAATGTAAAACGTTTCTTCAAAAAAAAAATCCAGACACATTTTTTTACTTCTAAGTGGATATAATCTGTACACAAAAAAAGAAAAAAACCAAAAAAAAAAAATTACTTCAAGCCTATATAGTTATAGACGTTATATACATATTTAGTACACACATGATTATCAAAAATGTTTTAAAATTCTAAAACAAATTTAAATATTTTTTTATTCATTCAAATTCCAGTACCAATGTCACCGACCGATGTAATTCTAGAGCGAGACGATGATTATTATGTGCTCAGCTGGACTGCAGCTGAAAATTCAGACGATGATATGGTGTTCTACGAGCTAATTTTTAAATACAATGATCAAAGAAAAATTTTAACGGTACAGCAGCATGTACCAGGAAAAGATAATAAACTCGTGTGCCGCCTAAAATATCCCGGTTGCACGGAGGGCGTACAAAATATGAAAGTACGCACTATCAATGTGGTACCCGAAAAAGATTTAGATATGAGCATTTTTGCTATCCCGGGCAAGGGAACGCAGCGAGAACTAGCGAAACTAGTCGAATACAAATATAAAACGCACATAGATTTCAAGTGTGAAGATGTTAATGGAATTCGGATACCACAATTACCCTATATGCCGAATACCACATATTACATGCTGAAATCAAAACCAACGGATTCAGGATTCAATTTCACTTGTACACCATTCCCGTGGGAAAATTTAGTGGCTTTGATTACTTTCGTTAGCATGTTCATAGCGACCATAGTTTGGTTTTTCAAGTATTTGCAAGGACAATGGGACATTCATTTTATATTCCCAGGACCGCTGACTACACTAATGAGCATGAGCTCAAAATTATCCACTGGCATGGAGGATAATAAACCGGAAAATAATTCCATTGTATCGGCAAAAGCTAGCGATGGTACATCGCTAAACAATATTGGAAAGACGTCTGTACCCTCGTGTAGCAGTGAAAGTGGTGTCGATGGCGTTGGCGACGCTGACAGTGACACACCGAGTACAAGTAGCGAAGATGTCAATAGGGAATTTTCACGCTGTTGGGCGAAAAGCGAGCCGGCATCGCCACAGACTACAATAACTTTAAATAGCCTTAGCTACTCTTCGCACCAACCATCACCGTTGCGGTGTAAAAAGTCATTTGACAAGCCCATTTTCAATAATGATGACTACTTACAAGTGGAACCAATAGTACCAATTATTGCTAATGACAGCAGCACATCGAGCGAATCTTCATATTTACACTTACATTCAATTAAATCGAAGTCGAACTCGGCTTCGGAGAGTAGCGGTAACAAAGGAAGTTTTGGTGATTATGTTACAGCGGGCGATATCGCTGCAACAATGACAACACCAACTGACGCTTTGCTCGACAAACATGCAAAGATGCCGCTTTTGCTACAAATGACAAATAATAACAATAATAATAATAACAATATTAATAATAATATATTCAAAACTGCGTCGCTGACTAACAATTATGTGCTACCAGACTCACTCCTCAAGGTAACTAATTTGCTCTGAACCATGTAGTTTGTAAAAAACAGAAGGAAACCTTATAAGACAAAAAAAAAAAAAAAAAAAAAATATATATATACATATATGTATATAAGTACATATGTATACATATTAATCTATATGATCAGATTGACGAGCTGAGTCCACCATGTCCGTCTGCCTGTCTGTATATCGATGCACTGGTTTCGCAGTTTTTGACACACGCCGTTTTTTCCCCCCGAAGAAGCTGCATTTTTCTCGGATCCGGCTGTCTCAGAAACTTATCAATGAAAATCAAGTTCTTATATGAAGAAATTTTTTTATGCATCGAAATTTAACATTTTTGCTTATTTTTGTTATTGTCTATTTAAACTGTGTTTTTCTTATAATCGCCACTTATAGTTGCCAACAGCGCACGGCGTAAGGAACTCCGTAAACCCACTGGAAGCAAAGCTCTCACAGGCGAAAGGTGCAACGGCGCAGGCACACCTCTTTCCAACGCTTGCGATCGACGATTATGTGCGACCCGATTCATTACATAAGGTAAATAAATTCACAAATGAATATAATCCCTTAATTTAATCGTTTCGTTTTTATGCTTGTACCAATTATGAACAATTTGTCGATTATACATTTTTGCAGTTGCCCACAGGACATACCGCTTCTACACGGCAAGATCACAACCAAACTGATAAGCGATTTCAACAACAATTCCCACAAACTACAACCATACCAACGCAGTCGGATCTATTTACAAATTTAGCGCTTACAACAGGCGATTATGTGCTACCCGATGAGTTGCCCAAGGTTAAATGACTTTTCCTTTCCAATTTTTAAAGAAATTTATATTTAAAGCTTCGTTTTATATTTCTATAGATCGCTGCATCACACTCCATTATGGTTGAAAACCAGAAATCTTTAATGCCACTACCGCAACAACACTCGCAATTTAGTTTTACGCAAGCGCAACCCAATATTCTTAAAAATATGCCACTCACACACGGTGATTATGTACCACCCGATACTTTAACCAAGGTAAACATATAACTTCAATATAAAAGAAAAAATACCAACTAACTTATAAAATATGTTCACAGTTTGCTGCTGCACAAAACGCCGCCAGTGACGCAGACATTGACGACCATACGCAGACGCCAGCGCAACAGCAAGTTCGACCAATGGTTTCATACGGCTATGTTACGTCAGATTTTTGGTCACAGCAAAATGCAATGAAATGAATTTGAACTCATAAAGTTTCTATGAAGTCGAGTCGTACAATTTAACCAAAAAAAAAAAAAGTGAAAAGATTTGCACACGCTAAGCTTACTTGTAAGAATCCAAAAATCATAATGGTACCAAGCATTTTGCATATTTATTGCTTAGTTGACTGCTAGCGAAATTTTTACTATCACGGCCAAAGGCTTAGGCGTTATGTAGTTGTTGGTGATTTACATTTAAAAACTTTTTCGCGACTGATTTACTGTTGTTATTCGTATAAGTGTGTGCGCAAGTGCTTGTAAGGTGTATGGCATGACATGCATTGTCGACTTACACACGAATTTAGTATGTGTCTAACTAAATAAGTAAGTAATAAATTTACTAAGCGTAAGAATAAAAGGCTATAATTTGTAGCGATTCCCAGGTGGAGCAGAATAACTTTTATGCGTCTGAATATTATTAATTAAGAAAATATATTGTGAGCATAGGCATCTATGTATGTCTTTCCACTTATTTATATGCATAAGTAATGTATAATTAAGTATATTTCAAATGTGAAAATAATTTAGTTGATTAGTCAGTTCCTTAAATATTTTCGTTATATACTCATTATCTCAAAGATATACATACATACAGAAATAAGTTGAAAATAACACAATTCAGTTCATTTTTCTTTTTTTATTTATTTATTACCTTTTAACTTAACCATTAGGTTAGGTTAGTTACCATTGTAAGCGCGGTTAGATCACTGAAAGATAAGCAGACGGATAAATTCCTGTAACGCAAACCTAAAATCTAATTATATTTCTAATTCGAAACTTATAAAGATTCATAATTGCATCGATTCACAAAAAGTCGCTTGTTAGAGGATCTCAAGATTATACATTTATGGAAGATGCATGCCAAAACTGTAATTTTAAGTTCTTAAGGTTTTTTTTAGATATAGATCTGAAATTTCGCACACATCCTTTTCTTGCTACGGAGTAGCTCTTTTGTAGGTCGGACAACTATACATATATACATATATGTAATACACAAATGAAATATTTTCACAAAATTTTGCTTGGGTTATTGACCTAAGACCGTAATGCATTATCCGAAAAATTGTTTAGATCGGATTACTATAACATATAGCTGTCATACAAACTGAACGGTCAAAGTTAAGATCTTGTTTGGAAAACTTTTTTATTTGGCAATAAATTTTATGAAAATTGGCATGGATTATTGCTCAAAGCAATGATACAATACCCGAACAATTTGTACAGATCGGACCACTATGGCATATAGTTGACATCGAACTGACGGTCATACTCAAGTTCTTGTATGTTTTTTTTTTTTATTTGTTATCATATTGTATTACTGCTTCTGTGTAACCGATGTCGTTTTTTCTTCTATTTTTATTTTAAAATATTGTTGGATTAAAATAATGAATATTAATATTAAAAAGTTAGTTAAAAAGTTTATTAAAAGTACTTTATAATATTTATGATTGAACACACCTAATTTTTTTTATTTATACCTATGCCAAAATTGATATCTACACTATTGTACATATTTATATACTTGTTACAGTTTTTGATATTTGAAACTTAATCTACTGAAGTAAAAAACTAAATCGTTTATTTTTTTTTTGCAAATTAATTCATTGTAATATAACAGTTTATATTCTTGTCGAGTCTGAAAGCTTAAAACGGACTAGTTTTGGGAATGAGTATGCTATTTTTGTATAAAAAGTATTGAGCTCACGATGTATTTTCAATATTATTCCGAAATCAAATATATTCAAATTCAAATATATTTTGTCTTGTAAATATTGTTAATACCCTTTAATAATATATATGAAAATACTTCAGCAAATCATTGTAACACATAATTTTTTCCAAACTAAAATTTCTCTTTATTAAGGAAAACACTGTAAAAGCATTTTTTAGTTATGATATTGTTATAAATATTAGCACTCACATATCCGTATATACAACAAAAGCCATACCCTGAAACGAGGTTAAATGCTTATTTTTCTTTTTTTCTTTTATCACATGAAAATAAATTGATTTTATATGAAAAAACAACTCAATTGTCAAATAGTCAGCCGAAAGAGTCCGTAAAATGGTAACCTGAAGAATTTTATTCATACTCGGTACAAATAAAAAACTCCATTTGTCAATTGTTTCTTCCATAGCCTACATATATACATACAAATGTGGATAGGATAAAATATAAAAGGGAAGCAACATGGGGTGCAATGTTACTTAAAATACATTTTGATATTTGTATCCTTCACTTAACTTAATTACTAAATTACTTAGAATTTTTACATAAAAAACATGCCAAAATTTAACGTAAGATAAATACAAACATTGCATAACCTTAACCTTATGCATATATAATTTTAAATATCAATATTTTATTATAAAAAAGCGTGGTAAATATTTAGGTTAGTTAAACGTTAAAACAAAATATAAATGTTCTAATATATATATACATACAAACGTGAATATATATATATATATATATATATATATACAATGTATATAAAATAGGCCAATTAATAGTGTGTAATAACTCTGTTAAAAGACTAATTATTTCATTGTTAGCATTGTATATAGTAGATTTATACATATATTTGAAAATGAAAATATGTGTGTACGAAAATCCAAATGATTGTTAAAACGAGCAAGTTTTGTTGTTTAGCTAAATAATGATATATAACATAATTATACATTATACACATAATATATTCATATGTATATATAATGCATAAAAAATAAACAGTGAATGCATATAATGAAAACACGAAATATTAATAATAATTTTTGTAGGTTAGAATAGACAAATGTATTTGTAATTATTTTTATTTTTATTTTTAATTAATAAGCAATGGTTTCCACAATGTAATTGAATTTTTGAATCGCCTCACATGAGCACACACAAATTTATGTATATAAAAATTTAATATGGAAAATGTTGAAAAATTCGTACACTAAATTTTATTGCATATTTTTTAAGAAATATTTATAGCAACTAAATATAATAATCGGAATTTTGCTAACCAATTCATAGATGTTTGAAAATAAAAGAGAAATATGTGTCATTATTGCAATATTATTAAAATTTGATAATTACACTACCCTTACAGTTAGAGGCACATACACATACATATATATTATATAATGCGAGTTTTATGGATTAAATATTTTACTTATGAAGAGACTTGCTAAAGCCGTTTAAAGGCATTTAAAGTATGTACATAAAATTCTGACTTTTTCCTATTTCGACATTACACACAAATGGCTGTTATTGAACTAATATCATCTTATGATAATTATCTAATACATTTATGCATTGGTTATATGCAAATAAAAGACGTTCTGTACAAAAATGTGTAATTTTTACGACACTCACACACACACACACACACACACACTTGAAAGTGTAGCACTGAATATGAAAACTTATTTACTTACATTTTATTACAAATTATACACTGATAAGTACATAATTATTTACAATATAAAATAATACTTATATACACATCTAGATGTGTATAAGAGACAGATATTCTGCAATAATAATAATTATTTTTTTTTTTATAAAATAAAGTGTTTTTTATGGTAATCGTTTCAGTCAGAAATAAACATGAAACTATTTCTTTGTCTGTCTCTTATACACATCTAGATGTGTATAAGAGACAGCCAACCATCACCTTAAAGCTCATTCAATTTTATTATTTATAGTTTAATTATTTTTTTTTTTATAAAACATCTCTCGAATAGATTAGTGAGGAACACAATTTGACAAATTCAAATTTCTCCTTAATACTCACCACGACAATATGTTTTGTAGTCTGGTAGCGTTAACGGTGGTATTTCACCACACAGGGGCAAAACGCCGACAGCAGAGCATGTGAGCGACAGTGTTTTGTGTGTGGCACACACTCGTTCAGTTTGTAAAGAGATTTGGTCAAGAATAGATGTGCTTAAATTCAAAGTGATAAATATTTAGCATTTATTCGAGTTCTGATTGCATTTAACAAAAAAAGATAAAAGCCTGTTCGCTGTATAAAAAGGAATTGAATTAACTTGTGTTAAATATAGAAGGATAAGCAAATCCTGCTAAAAACTGTATTTCACGCATACAGTTGAGGAGGAATAGGAATTTAAATTTTTTGTACAAAGGATAGGACAAAAACCGAACACGGTGCAAAAGGAAGAGAGGAAAAAAATTAGCAAACGAAATCCATTACGTGAAAAATCGATAAAAATAGAATCAAATCGGAAGCTCGTCATAAAAGTAAAAGCAAAAACAAAAACGAATAGACGTGACGACGAGAGGAGTGCTACAACAACAAAATAACGAACAGCACAACGTCGGCCAAAGAGCGCATAGTATGAAACGTGGTATAGTGAAGGAATTCGAAAGTAAAATAGATAATATAGTTAATAATACTTACGCGCCCACAAATATAGTATAATCCTCGCGCGCAAAGCTTTGTAAGAGATAAGTTGAGATTTTCAAATAAATCAGTGGGGAGTACATATATAAGGCAAAGGAGAAAAATCAGCTGATCAGCTTTAGTGGGATAACGGAAGAGAAGGAGAAACGCTTCTCCTATTGCCGGTAAGGAGAACGTCATCTACGTAAAAAAGAGCAAATTTACTACAGCTGTCTAATCAGCCGTAAAAATAGCCAAAGCACAAAACGTCAACAAAAGAGTGTTGAATTTGTAATATAAACAAAAACGGAAAAAATATCTCCAAATTTAAGCCAATCAAACCATACAGCGGATGTAAATAAAGGTGCATATAATAAAAAATTTAAGAAAAAATAAAATATATCATACATTACAGTCTATACAGTTTTGTTAGACTTATTACAAAATATAATTGTTGGCGTCGTAAAATAATCAATATATTTGTAAGAAAAAATTACAAATTCCTGCTATAAATCAACAAAAAGTGGCTAAAGTAATACACACAGAAAGTTTATTGAAATAAAACAAGTACCTAAATTTCTAATAATATACGAGTGCTGCAAAGTAGTATGGGCACAGAAACCAAATTCAACAGTTACAAGGAGAACACCACTGCAACTACTGGTAGTGTTTTTCGTCCGAAAGTAGCGCACAATGGTTCATCGGCAACAGTAATAGGTGCCGGTGTTGGTCGAAAGTTGCATTCATCAAATGGTGCATTGAACTCTAAACAACAACAGCATAACGATATCACCAATGGCAGCTCTGTAACTCCAGTTTTTTTACCTATACACATTGGCGACGACGTAATTAGCGGTGCCAAAGAGGTGCTGAAAGTGATAAGACCACAGTGGAATATTAGTCATGTGCAATTTAAAGTGAGTACTGAATACCTATTAAAATGTATAAACCGAATTCATTATTATTTGCATCCAAATTGGGATTTGCCACTGTTAGCGGCCGTTATTGGTTAAAAAAAATATGTACGCGAGTCCAAACCAATTATTTACCAGCTCAATGTGCCTAAAAATACTCCTGTGTATGTATGTAGCTCAATCTGAAACCTTGTTTTCTGCAACAAAATACAATTTTTCCTATTGACTCTGGCAGATCTGAAAATATTTGTATTATGTCAATCAAGCAGAGTGTGGAAATTTCCATCATGCCGCTTAACAGCTTCGAAGATTTTGCGTGTCCATAATATGCATGCATTTCCTATCCATTCTAATTAATAGTAAGATCTGTAGGCAGGGCCGCAGAGAGAAAACGGGGTCGGGGAATGATTGTAGCGAATTGTTGGAGAAAAAAATCTGCAAAACATTATTGCAGAACTCCGACCCCTCTAGGAATTCCGTTGGCGGGAGGAACTATCCCCTCTCTTTTAAGTAGGTAATTAGTTGTGTTCAATTATCTACTATATTTAGTTGCCATTACTAGCAACTCTTTGATTTTTTGTTGTTAGCAACACAGGAACTAAAACTTTTACTTGTTTAAGGCAGTACATATACATATAGTATGACTATGTATATACGCGCAAATTATGTGTGTTCATACATGTTATTACATAAGTATGAGATATTCTCTATAATTCGCGCTTATCGTTCAGCTTCATGTCTGTAGTAAAGACTTTTGTTTAAACTTAACCGGATTCTCGATGCTTGTAGTATAATGAACATCACATTGTTTTGCAATATTTATATGTACATACATAACTTGTATGTACATATGTATATATGTAGTTACTGTTGCTTGGACTCTATGTGGGTATATAAATACGGGCGTTTGTGTTGGGTTATAAATATTGTGCTTTATAGCATTCTTATCTCTTTAATGGTTCTCGAAATTTATACTAAATGAATGAATGAAATGAATTGTGCATATGTGTTTTAAATATCTCCATTTACATAGCATGTTCTGTTGATGTAAAAAGTGTAAATTTACCACCTATCTGCGCGTGAATTGCCTTGCCCTTAATATTTTGCATTAATATTTCTGAAAATTTTCAACGATTAAACATTTTTTCATGTTCTTGCATTGACAACTTTTTTATTTGAAGAGAAATCTTCACAAAATTTGTCATTGATTATTATCCGAAGTAATGCTGCCATATCTGAATAATGTTTTTAGATCGGAGCATTATAGTATACAGCTGCCATACAAACTGGTCGATCAAAATCCTAACGGTACTATTTTAAAATGCGACAAATCAATAACTAATACGCCAGACATTAAATTTTACTCGAAAGATGGTATAATAGGGCGTTGGTGGAGCCGGATTTCGAGACCCGCGGCCCATTTCAACCACGTTTAGTATGTGACATTTCTCTGACCTTTTTATGCCACAGTGTGCGAAATAGGACATGACCACTTTAAATTCCATCTGATTCTCTCCTTTCGAATGTACAATTCAAGAAGCAATTAATGTAACGTGATAGAACTTTGCAAAAATAATGAATTTAAAGTATCCCACTTTACGGCCAAAAATTATCCAAATATAACAAAAACTTTTCTAGCCCCTAGGTACCGAATATTTATACTGAAGTAACTATAGCTGACTTTTTACTGAAAATATTGGTCAACGTGTCAGACTTATAATTGAAATTTAGAGAGAATCCTTTCCTGATAATGGTATGTCTGTGTGCCAGAAATGGGTTGAATGTTGTCAATACTTTATTTAGTCCCCTTATACCTAATATAAAAATCTTCCAAATTCCTTTATACCGCGTATATCGGTGAATATGTGGGGAAGTTTTGCTGAAAATGAATAAAATCGGGTGAAAACCCGCTCTACTTCCTTAGCTTTAATCCTTGCAATTTTTTTGCAAGAGCATGAAATGTTCTGTTACACCTGAACTTAGCTCTCCCTTATTTGTTACAGAATATTTTTTATTTATGATAGGTATTTTAGCTTCGATGTAACCGAAGTTCACGTTTAATCTTGTTTAATTACTTGTTTTAAAGTTATACATTCCTCTCACATTGTATATTGTGTGTACCTGCCGTTTTGTAGTATATTTAAATTTTTATTTTTATGCAAAGCTGCACCTGCATAAACAGACTTTTGAAATATGTAAATGTCGTGTGACAAAACACTATATGTACATATTACTAAAAATATCAATCCTATGTAAAGATTCGAATATCACAGATGTTATGCACAAACGTCATTGATATTGTTGAGTTGGAACTTCAGAATCTTCAATGAACGGAAAAATGAGTGCCACTACATTTTTTGTAGTATTTGGAAGCACCAGCGCCGTTACCAATCTTATCAACCAAACTAATACTCAGTGAACTTAAGTGTTATCACTCACACATATTCATACTTATGTATGTATATGCATACACGCTTGGCTTGTAGACATTTTTACATTGGGTTCATATATACGATATCGGACCACTATAGCAATAACGAAGTAATTGAATTTTTTTTTATATCTCTAATATATGTTACTTTCATATTTGTCGTTGTTTGAACCGGGGATTGCCAGAAAAATACTCATTTCAGACCCTGTTATAAAACGGAAGTAAATTGACATAACCATAAGATTAATATTACGCGATAGCAGATTTTGGAAGCTTTTTGTTTATATTGATAAGGTAGAGGATTGTGCTCCTATGAGTATGCTTCTAAAATAAGTATTAATTTTTCCAAGAGAAGAAAAAATGCATGAGTAAAGCGTTCTGTTTACTTTTCATAGTCGTACCTGTACATACCAAATTTATTTTATTCCATTAATCAATAACAATGAAATATCAGCAATCAAATGCTAATTCAATATTTTTTCTTACAACAACACGTATGCCAAGTATTCACACTTAAGCAAAATGGAAACTGGAACTCTAATGAAAAGAAATCCAAAATCTATACAAATTTATAGAATCCGTGTGTAAGCTGAAAAGAAATACAAGCGCGTGTCTGAGTATATACATATATTCATTATCGACATACTTTGTAACTCATTGATAAAAAACAAGTGCTTTAGTGCATTTTTTATGAATTGTTGAGTTGCTCGCTCATTGACGCCATACATATGTGTATATGTGTAAATAATCTATATATACATATTAATTATACATACGCCACATTTTCGTTTATCGCATTATCATTAATCTCTTTGTAATCAAATAAGCTCTCCTTATGATAAGAGTGTTAATTTTATGGCCTCTACCCCGAACTATGTTACTGATTAATTTTAAAGTACTATTGTAATTTAGTATTGATCTTAGCAAAGATGCATTTGTTTTTGTATTTCTCCATTTATTAGGTGCATTTGCCGTTAATTAGTTATTTATTATTTATCATTTAATTGCGTTGTTTGCAAATATTGTACGCTAAATTACCTTCTTTGTTTGCCCAAGCTATAAAATGCAGTCGAATATAGCCCCAAAAAGGCTTAACGTTTTAGTTTAGTCATATCAGTAAGTGCTAGAAGTTCTTGTTGCCTTTTTTTAGTATTAACTCCAGACAAGGCCTAATTAAAACAACTGCATGTATTAAATGTAATAAATTATATAATTATGTAAGTCGTAATATATTTCCCTATGTATTTACATTGTATAAGTCAATGCCAATAAGTACCTGAAAGTAAAGCTTTATCTTTTAGGGAGCACTAAATTATAAATGCAAATTCAGATATGAATTTTAAGAGAATCAACGATGTTTTAGATATTCTATTAGTTAAAATATTCTGGATTTTGCCACGCCCACAAAACGCCATTAATCGAAAAGTGTCATAACAAAGCTCTAAATTAAAATGTAGATCGCAGTAACAAGGTGGGCAAAAATTTTTTAAAAAATATGGGCGGACCTATTTTTTTTAATTTTAATAAGTAAAGTAAAGTAAAATTCTAATAAGTTGAATGTACATATCTCCTAACTACTAAAGCCACAACAATTAAATTTGCTGAACGTAAATATTTTAAGAACTCCTACCGACAGTCCCCATATAACGGTATTGTTAAAAATTACTAAAAGTGCGACAAATCAATAACTGGAAACGCCAGAGGCATTAAATTTTACCCCGAGATCGCATTAGAGAGCAGACGGATTCGAAATTGGACAATGAGCGTGGCACCGTCCACTTTTAGATGAAATCACTTATCTCGGGACCTGCTCAATTGATATCATTCCTATTTTACGGTGTAAAAATTAGCGAAATTAGGCTATTACCAGGACTACTGCCCATATACAACAATTTTAAATTCCATTTGAACTTTCCCAGTATGCTCGCTTATAACTAAATATTGCCTAAATCGAATAAAAACTGTTCAAGACCCTAGGTAGGAGAGAATTATTTCCTTACAGTAGTATGTCTATATGTTAGAAATTGATTGAATCGGGTCAATACTTCCTTTAGCCTTACTTAATATATAATATACTTAATATAAAGATAAACTTCCGAGTTTATTTACACCGCATATATGTATTATACCCTGTTTTTCTTAAAACGGTTCAACATTTTCCTCCTTTCGCCCGAAAGTCCATATAAATAACAAGCCTTATGTACCTGAAGTTTTATCGTTGCAAGTTGCAACTTAGCTCTTCCTTATTTGCGACACAAATAAAATTTCCAAATTTAAACTAATGGTGCATTGAAGTATGCCTTTCGAAGAATTTTTACATAACTTTTTAAAAATATGGCATGGGCAGCAGTTATTCGAACGTGTTTCGGAAAAGGTTGTGCCGTATTGTCCGAAATTAATCAGTTCATTATTTAGGTAATAGTTTTCCCAAGATAATTCCGAAAGAGCGTTATCAATGAATTTTTCAAAAATGTTTTTTGGACAGAAAAAAATTATCAAATAATTTGGAACAAGCCTTTGCCGGATATAAATCCGGACCTGTTTCGGTTATGTAGAATTTCGTATGATTTTC